TGTAGTCCCAGCTATTTGGGAGGCTGAGGCAGAAGGATCGCTTGAGCTCAGGAGTTTGAGGTTGCTGTGAGCTAGGCTGACGCCATGGCACTCTAGCCCGGGCAACAGAGCAAGACTCTGTCTCAAAAAAAAAGTTGTCAAATCATTTGGGTAAATACCTGAGAGCGTGATTGCTGGATTGTGTGGTAAGCCTGTGTTTAGCTCTGGAAGGAACTGCCAAACTGTCTTCCAAAGTGGCGATCCCATTTTGCGTTCCCAGGGTGGTTGATTTTAACACTGGACATAAAGCAAAGTGCAACCCACCAAACGTAACCTCTAAAGGATCCTGGGAGGAGCATCTACTGCCTCCCTGTCAGCACAGACCCTCGGCTGTCCAAGCTCCAGGCCCCCCAGACCTGGGGCTGGCCTCCCCGCCGTGACAGTTTGGCACAGCAGGCCTCTTCTCAACAAGGGCTGGGCTGCTGCTAGCTCCGGAGTACTTTCCATGGGAATGTTGTCACCTCTCATCTATGTGCCAGCCCCATGCTAGGCACTGGGGACTTAGCAGTGAGCACAGCAGTCAGCGTGCCCCTCCTGGTGCTGCCTCCCAGGGAAAAGCCAGGCTTGCTGACCCCGCCTGAGGCCCTGCACCAAATGTTTCTCCTCATTTTCTTATTTAATCCGTGCCACAGCCCTGTGAGGTGAGAGGTAGGCACCATTATCATGTCCCTTTTGCCGGTAAAAATCTGAGGTAGAGAGAGGTTAAGTCATTTGCCCAGTGTCACACAGCTGGTCAATGGCAGGGCCAGTCTAGCTCTAAATCGCCAGGCATCATGGCCCCCTGGGAGCCACAGACTCTGCCACAGGGACTGTGATCTGGCCGTCCTCTGAGGGAACCTCCCATGGCCTCTGCCCCTCCGTCTTGTTCCCGGGGGTACCTGTGGTGGCCACTGTCCAGCGTGAAGGAGCCCAGGTCCCAGCCACAGATGCCAGCCGAGGGGCTGCCATGTGCTCACCTACTTCCAAGTGCCACAGGGCTCAAAGTGAACAGGACACAGGCTGACCCTACCCTCCTGCCTTTAGACATGCCTAGGGAGGGTGCGTGCAGGGCGAGGCTGGGACCCTGGGTTCTGGTCTTGTCTGTGGTGTGGCGGGGGCGAGGCATTTGCCCTCGCTGGGCTCCGGTGCCCTTGTTTGTAAAGTGAGGGATTCATAGCACTCCTCCAAGCATGGAACTTGTGTTTTCCCAAAAAAGCCAATAGAGACTCTGAAAAGAACAATACCGATTTCATGTCACATGCTCCTTGTGAGTCCTGTGCCAGTTCCTAGAACAGAAAGGTTATTGCAGATTAAAAAAAAAAAAGACATCATGAATTTGCATCAGCTCTCAAGGCCTCTCTGCAAAGGCCGCTGAGAGGAGGGGTCTTCGGCGATGGGCAAAAGGCCACGGTGCCAAGGCCAGGTCTGTAGTGGGCTCTGCACTGTGCCCAGCCAGGGCCTGCCCCTCGGGGTGTCCAGGGCCAAACATGTTCTGATACCCACAGGCATTCTTTCATTCTAGGCATAAATGACTCCAAACCACCGTCCCCAAATCACCTGCCAAGTGGCTTGTCCGTTCTGGATGACATTGTGCTGAATTTCATACTAAACTCACAGGCCACGTAGGTGCAGTTGGGAAAGTTTCCGGAGTCCGAGGGCTTGGCTCGAGCGCTGCTCCGGTGCCCGCCAGCTGGACGTCTCTGAGAATGTCGCCCAGCTGCCTGCGCCTCCATCGCCTTGTCTATAGACCCTGCGGCAACGGGTCTGCAGGCAGGAGCCACACCCTTCACGTCTGTCTCCCCAGCAGGTAACAGAGACTCTGGGACACTGCTCAATGCGTGTGTTGAGTCTCCCCTACCTGCCTGACAGGCATGTGGGAAAATACTTTCTTAATCACAAAGCATCTCGCAAATGTTAGTTAATGTTAATATCACTGCTAATGTTAATGTTAGTATTAATGTTGTTATTCAGCTACTTCTGATTCACACTGAGTCTCCTTCTTGCTACTGAAAGCCCCGGGCAGTCTGGAGGTAGAGGCATGGGTGTTTGTGGCCACACATCTGCAGATGCTGGTGCCCCCACCTTCCCAGTGTTTGCTGGCATCCAAGGCAGAGAGAAGAGGGAACAGTGATAGGGAAAGAGGGGGATGTCGGAAAAAGCCTTGGCTGACGGCACAGTCTGTTCAAGGACCGAGTGTTGCTGCCTGTGGCAGCAGGCTGGAGCCAGAGCCCCTCTGCTCCGCGTGCGACTTGAATGCTGACTCCGTTTCTCACCTGCGGGGGAGCGCCAGGAACATCTGTCCTGCAGAGGCCAGCCCTTGACAGACAGCGCCCGCTGGTCACAGAGCCAAGGACTGGGGAGACGGCGCTGGACGATGCCCTTCCGCCCCTTTGCAGCCATTTCTGGAGATTGGAGAAAACAAGTCATTAGTCTTGTGTATTGCTTAATGGTCTCATGAGAGCAAGGTGGGCAGGTTTGAGAGCACTCGGTCAGGGGCTCGGAAGGCACCTGAAATGATTAAGAACCTTGTCCTGGCTGCGGGGACGTGAACTCGAGCCTTGTCTGTCCAGAGGGGAAGGGGTACGCAGCACCTGGTAGAGTGGGGGAGGGAGGCAGTAACTGCTAGCTTGGATGGTTGCCAGCTAACTTTACAGCCTCACCTTGAATCATAATTTTATTTATTTTTTTAAGTTGGAAGGACCTTTGAGATCACTCCCTTGTTTTGCAGACTGAGGGGACCACGCTTGGCCAGAGCTCCTGTGGGTCTCCTCCTGTCTCCCAGGCCTGGATTTTTTTTTTTTTTCTTTTTTCACTGGTAACACTATTTTTTGAGGCTTACAGCACATTCCAAGAAAAAAAATCCAGGACACTGAAAAAACTTACCCAGGCTATTTATTTATTCACTGTCACTCAGAGAAGCTGTTAGCGCTAATGACCTTTCCAAACTAATAAACTCTGTAAATGCTCAATTGTTTATTGCACCCACTGAGTTACACCTCTAAGTGACTGGAGAGAACTGAACACCAGGCCGGAACGTGTAGCTCCAGGGCGCCGCAGCCAGCAGCCCGCTTTGTGCCCTGGGCAGGGAAGCTGGGTAGATTGGCCTGAGAATGGAGGTCCTGGTGAGTCTCCCTATCCAAGCTTGTGAGTGACACTTGCCACTCTGACTTCCAAGATGAAGACGAACAGACATCCTGCAGAGAAACAATGTGTTTATTGTGCTATTGTTGCAGGGGGAATTGTTTTTTAAATTGTGGTAAAATATATATGCCATAAAATTTATCATTTTAACCATTTTTAAGTGTGTAATTCAGTGACATGAAGTACACTGTTGTACAATCATCACCACCACCCATTTCTAGAATTTTTTCATCTTTTCATCTTCCCAAACGGAAACTCTGCCCCACTCTCCCCTCTCCCCAGCCCCTGGCAACTACTATCCTGCTTCCTGTGTCTACGGATTTGACTACTCCAGGTCCTTTGGATCCAGGTCCTTTGGAAAAGTGGAATCACACCGTATTTGTCTTTCTGTGACTGGCTTATTTACTTAGCATAATGTCCTCGAGGTTCGTCTATGTCGTAGCAGGTGTCAGAACTCCTTTCCTTTCTAAGGCTGAATAAAATCCGTTATATGTATGTGCCACATTCTGTTTATCCAGTCCTCTGCTGGTGGATGTTTGGGTTGCCGCTGCCTTTTGGCTATTGTGAATAATACCGTTATGAACGTGGCTGTACAAATATCTGTTCCAGTCCCTCGCAGAAGGATTTTGAGCTTTAAAAAGGAGAGCTTCCGGCTTTCAAATTATCAGGTCTGATCTGCCGGCCCTCACTGCTGTCGCCCCAGAGGAGCAGACTGCCAGTCTGCCACTGCCCATGTGCTGAGACTGTCCTCCCTCGAGCAGAGCTCTGCGTTACCCTCGGCCAGGGACGCAGATCGAAGCTGGCCTCTTGCACACACCGCCCTTCCTGCTCCCAGCTCAGCTGCTCAGTCTGCACTTCAGCCAGTGTGAAGGCCTCTTTACCTACACTTCTTATCCTGAAATACATCAGTCATGTTGAATTTGTCCCTCGCTGAGGTAGCAAGTGCTTTGTGCTCTTGCTTTTCTAAGTTCTTTCCACCCCCACTTCTCAAATGTATTTAGCCACCATTGTAAAAGCCAAGTAAAATCACTCATGCACAGTCTTCCTTCCTGTCCAAAGATGTCCCCCATCCCCTGCTCCTTCCAAAAATCCACTTGCATACACGTCGGCAGAACTAAAGGCATCTTGTCTGGAAGCATCACTACCTCTGGGCGTTAATTGCCCAAACTCACGTTACAACGCATTACAGTGGTGACACACTCCGGCACAAGGCAGGAGAATTCACAGTTCAGGTTGGCATTGTCATTAACTCAAGTCTTTGATGTCAACTCCCTCCGCCCAAACGTTCTCGCCTGGCCTTACAGTCAACCTCCGAGATGCATTTTCTGGCCTTTGTTGGTTTGTGTCAGCTCTTGAACATTATTTAAATGTAGTTTGGGGTCCATGAATGCAATTACCGTTGTGTTATTATTCAGAGCCAGATTGTTAAGATGCAGGCAGCTGTACAAGGAGATGCCCTGTGCTGTGAGGTCCAATTTAGGAGGGCCTTCCAAGCCGCGAGCGCAGGGTTGCTAGGCAACCCCATGCTACAGAAGTGGAGGCCTCACTCCGAGTGGGAAGAAGCCGGATCGCCTTCAGGGAATTGGAGGCAGTGGTCAATCCGAGACTGGCACAACGCCGGGGAGGGGAGGGAGGCAGCGTGGGCTGAGCCCACGGGCCTGGAGGGGTGTGATCCTGCTAGGAGTGAGGGGCACCTACCCAGCTAGCACATGGGGAGGGGAGATGCCTCTGGGAGTGAGAATGCAGAGAAGATGCAGAAGCCCTAGGTCAGCCAGGAAACTGCCAAAGGATACCCAGAGCAGATGCTAATGTGATTCTCCCTCCCTTTCTTCTCTTTGCAGGAAATGAGCAGGTTGGCAGAAAAACTGGTGGCCTGAAATTTAAGACTAAGGCGTCGGTGCTTGTGAGTATGAATTTTGCTTTTTTAGTTCTGTGGCTTAACAGCGTTCCTGGGAATTGAGTAGGTTTCCCTGTTAGGGGAAGGGACATGACCTGGATGGAATCTGTTTTTGGTTCTTCTTCTGCTGGGTTGGGCTGGACCCATGAGTGGAAGGCATCGGGCTGAAGGAGGATGGTTTGAACCCTGGCTCTGCCTTCTAAGTGCAGAAGAGAGTTACTCCCTTAACTGGTTGATTGGTATGCCCGGGGAGCAGAACTCCTGTGGGGAAAAGAGACATGTGCATTTTTCCACCCTGGGGCAACAGTTTGTGCAATTCCAAGTTTGCTGCTAGGTTGACCTTATTTAGAACAGCAAATTCTCATATAGGCCATTTAACAGCATGTTAAACTAAGAGCAATCATACATACCAATCCATGAATCAATCCGAGAACATACCAGGTGCCTGGCATTACCTGGAGGCTCTGAGAAATCCACGAGAAGCAGCCGGCCTGGGCCCTATTTTGGAGGGGCTTTCAGTCTGGTGTGGGACGAGAAGATACCTGCACATGAGACAATTAAAGAAGTTTAAGAAAGGGTGTGTGGTCGGCTCTGGCTCTCATGGCATGGGCAGAAATGCTGGTGATGGGGAGTGTTTAGATAAGACTTCCTGGAAAAGGAGAGGCTTGCACTGGGCTGACGGAGGAAGGAGGCTCTCGAAGGAGGGAGAAACAGGGACAGAGGCCTGTGTGGAGGACAGCGTAGGCACAGGTCTGGCGGGAGAGGGGAGGATACGCTGGTGAGATTGGGCAGGGCCAGGTGCTGAAAGGCTTGGCATGGCTTCTTTAATGGTCTGGATGAAAAGAATCAGGACGGAATAAAGGATCCCTCATCTGTGTAAATAAAATGAAGTTTCTCCCAGTTGGTCTGTTACTCCATCATATGAAAGTGGCTGCATGGATTTTTCACCAAACTTGAGGTTGTGTTTGAGATGAGTATATAGACTGGATAGATGACAGGAAGTCCACATTGGGGGCCTTCCGTGTGTCTCAGACACACACACACACACACACACACACACACACACACACAGAGCCTTTTCTAGACAGCGACAGCTGAGTGCCATAAGAGCCTTGTGAGACCAGCGATGGGGCCACATCCCAAGCTCCGGGTGGACAGTCACCAAGATAGTGCTTTTGGTTGTCCACTTGCTTTTCCTCAGAGCCGCTTTTCACACAGGGAGCTCTAGGGACTGTGCCCAGGATGAGGGACAGCTGGGATTTATTTATTTAACAAAGATTAACTTATTATTTGTTCCAAGCAAGCAGGGGAAGCGCGCTAGTTCTAAATCTCAGTAACAACAACCAGTATTCACATAGCATTGCCAGTTTGCAGCACTTGATGGTATTACCTTGAAGAAGCTTTACAAAGGCTCTGTCAGGTATTCCCACTTTGCAGATGAGGAAACTGAGGCTCAGAGTTGTTCAATATTTGCTCTAGTTCACTCAGCTTGTAAGCTACAGCGCTGCCTAAGACATTGGCGCTGACTCTCTGCTGCACGCGACTGGATGGCTCTCTGACTATGGAGCAGGCCTTCTGGGTTGGCCCCTGCCTCCTGCTTGTCATCCTGGGGTAGAAGAGTAATTGTCGTGCTGTCCCACGGAGACTGGTTGCCAGAATCCTCTCTGGGGTGTCAGCGTTTTGCTCTTGCTGGCTTTCATGGGCTGTGCAATGTCATTCTGGTGGTCTTTGGCGACGGCTCTGCCCTCAAAAAGGAAGGCTCATGTGTGCTTCCAACACCAGGGACAACCCTCTGGAAAGATGCTGGAGGGCTTCATTTGGAGCCATTGGTGACTGACCTGGATTGGGTTCCCCAGAAGCAGAGTCTGAGACAGGGTTTCAGGTGTACATGGTGACGCACCCAGGGAGAGGTTTTAGGAGACACTTGAGGGAAGAGAGGGAAGCAGGATGGAGAAGGGGGAGCCGAGGAGGATGTGGTCTCAGGGCAGGTCTCTGCTGGGCTTGGTCGGCATCCGTTGCACTGCGGTGATGTCTGGTTTGGAGGCAAGGGGCAGGGCTTGGGTTTCCCCTCCCTTGTCATCAGCCGCCCCCAGAGTGTTGCTGGTGGTGCACCCTCCAGAGCATCACCTCAACCAAGAGCAAGGGACCAGAGAATGTCCCAGGTAAAAGCTGGGTGCCACACTCCCAGCAGTCGGGGAGTGGGTGCCCCAGTAGGGACAGAGGATCTGGGTAGGGCCTCGGTTGTATTTACTGTCATGCCTGTGGGCACCACTATTGTGAAGACGCCAAATGTCACTCTCACCTGACCCGGCAGTAATTTTCACTGCGGTAAGTTTGCATTTTAAGAGTATAGGTATTAAAATGGAAATCAGTATTGCCAAAGTCTGTTTTTACTGAGAACAACATGTGCTTTCTTAACTAAAATTTTATTCTTAATAGGTAATACAATTTCATGGCTCTAAGTTCAAAAGTACCAAAAGGTATATTATAAAAAGTCCCTCCTCCCCACCACTAGCCTGAAGCAGGCTCCTGTCCTAGACAAGCAATACTGACAGAGTTTTGCATTACTTTCCAGCGACAGTCTGTGCACACCAACAATGGTGTGGTTTAGATGCCAAAGCTTTGGTGAATCCGATGCAGTACAGAAAGAAACCACCTTCTCAGGCCTCCAGACTCAGAAGTTGGGGCTCTTCCAGAAGGGGTTGAGCTGAGATATGCCTTTGTTTTGGAGAGAGAGCAATTCATAGCATGAGTCAGCTCTGGGAGGAATGTTTAAAATGCATAAAAACTTACTTTACAAATGTTTCCAAACTCCTTAGAGTTACTGTGTAAACAATTGATACAAGAATTGCAAATTATTATTTCCAATTGCAAATAATAATAATTATTATTATTATTTTAGAAACAGAGTCTTGCTCTGTCAGCCAGATTGGAGTGCAGTGTGATCATAGCTCACAGCAACCTCGAACTCCTGGGCTCAAGTGATCCTCCTGCCTCAGCCTCCTGAGTAGCTGGGACTACAGGTGTGTGCACCACACCTGGCCACAAATAATAATTATTATTATTTCAAGTAAATCACATATAATTTGAGATACTGTATTACAGCCCTTGGAATTCTCACATATTTAAATTATTTAAACTAATTTAAAATTTCACTAAATTCTCTGTTTGGTGCAAATTATAGAGGTCTCCCTCCATTTATTGTCTGATGTCATTTGCATATGGTGTAATGACTTACTGAAATGTGCATTCTATTTCCAAAGTGTATTGACATCTACCGCACTGTCAGCACCTTGTGAATTTCACTGTGGTTTCCTTTTATGAAGTGACTTGACTATAATGTGGAGGTACTTTCTCAACACAGGATCTGGTCAGTGGTGGGATGGGCTCCTTGGTGAGCTCCCTGTGGCAGGAGGTGTTGAAACAGTAGCTAGGTCATCTACTCCACAGGCAGGCTTAGGAGACTTCTACCATCCTTCATTGCTGACTCTAGTCTATGCGCTTTTGTTATCATCATTGCCTTTATAGGCCATTTACCTCACTTGAATTTTGGGCTGTTGGGCTCACACTGTGCACTTATATTCTGAATTTTAGTCTTGAAGCTTTTGTCTAAAGCCTATAAGCATCCAGGTCGAACTTATTTTGTAATCTTGTAGGCCTGGCGTGTGTGTTTTTGTCTTGCAAATAAGCTCCCTTCTCTCTGTTCTCCTTCATGTTTATGTTCTCTCTTGAGGGTTGCAAGAAAATCCTCTAACTTGTGTGTGACCTGTTCTAGCCCTGAGACAGATTTTGGTGGCACCCCCATGAGGCAATGAAAAAAAAAAAAATCTCATTTCCGTTCAAGAAATAGAATCATTATCTTGATTGAAATAATATCCTTCCTCAACCTGCACCCAGATAAAGCATCACATTGGTGGAGTTTCCTTATCACTGCAGAGTTTGCAGGACACAGACTAATGGCCTGTCAGCTGCCTCTGGTGGGGTGGGTTCTGTGATACGGAGCCCACAGCTCGGCCTGGTTTGCATTATACAATGTCTGGTGCAATGTAAAATAATGCCATTAATGACAAAGAGCATTATATTTAAAGGAGAGGATAGCATAGAGCCTAGAACACAAGCAATAAATGCGGCTACAACAGTTATGGCGGCTGTTGTTATTAGACAACATCTAACACATTTGGGCAACTGTCGGAGGGACTGAAGGATATAGATGTTTATATCCCTTTAAGATGTGAGTACTCCGGAACCGCGTGTACCCTAGGCCTGTGCTTCCAGGGCTTCGATTGGAGTAAGGGTGCAACTGGGCTTGAGAGGGTGAATTGGGTTCTAGTTTTGGGTGGCAAACAGGACAGCCAGGGGCCAGCAAGATGACATCTTTGGGGAGGGAGCTGAGAAGCCATGGGCAGGGAGGCAGGGAGGCAGCGGGACCAGGTTCTGATCACCATCCGCCATCCTCACCGTGCAGCTCTGGACTCTTGGGGCCTTGGTCTCCCCATTGTTCAGAGAGGGAACATGGGGTATCAGGAGAAGGAGGTGAGTCAACGTTTGTGCACAGTCCAGGATTCTGGCTGCACCTTGATCCTTCCTGTCCCTCCATGGAGTGGGGAGCCTCTGCTATATCCCGGGTGGGTCTTCCAGGGGTTAAAATGCCGACTCCCACACGGACTTCCTTCCTCCTGCACGACTTAGTCCCACAGCGCTCCTGCATCCACACAAGGCTCCCTGAGCCCCAGAGCGCAGTGGGGGAGAGTGTAACGTGAACAGCACTGGCTGGGAGTCCAGTCCTCCCTCGCTATCTGCTTGCCTCGTGGCCTGGTTGCAGGCCCCTCACCGATGAAGGGGGGTGTGACACAAGGATACGAACGGCTGGCCTTTTTGAGCACCTATGCTGTGACAGGCACCCCTTCAACCATTTTACATGAATTAATTCACTTAATCCTCACAACAATCCTGTGCATTAGAAACTTTTACTACCTGCCTTTTACGAGTGAAAAGTAACAGAGAGG